GAGAGAGAGAGAGAGAGAGAGAGAGAGAGAGAGAGAGAGAGATGTGAGGAATGAGCCCTCCAGGGGCCTATCAGACATTTCATGTTCTGGGTTAAGGCCCCAGCAAGCCAAGTGCCTGTCCTAAGTGAAGGCGGGCCTGAATATTCGTAGAGAGAGAGAGAGAGAGAGAGAGAGATGTGAGGAATGAGCCCTCCAGGGGCCCATCAGACATTTCATGTTCTGGGTTAAGGCCCCAGCAAGCCAAGTGCCCGCCCTAAGTGAAGGCGGGCCTGAATATTCGTCACAGGCCAAAATTCGACATTTCCATATGTGGGTATTCAGGCTCTCACAGCGCGCAAGTTGGTTGAGTGAACGCGCGAGCCTCACTAAGGTGCGTCGCAAGTTGGCCCAGGCCACGAAAGTTGTGCATATACACCCTAGACCCTCAACTGTAAGTCTTGGGCCTGGGCACAGGGTCTGAGGCCCAACCGGAAGCTACTGGGAGCTTCCAGCCAGGCCAGACGCAGCATCCAGCACGCTGCCACTTCCATAGAGGAAGTAAGGCAGCCCAGGCCAGACACACTGGCCAGCGCTGGCAATGCGGAAGTGCTGCTGCACTTCTGCTTGATGCTGGGCTAATGCTAGGGGCGGTGCAGGGCAGCGGGGCGCAGGCGGCCATAGCCGGGCTGCTGGGCCCCAGGGGGTACAGCGGGCGATCGGGTGGTCTTCAGGGAAGGAGGCGCTGTGTGGGGTAATCAAGGTCTGATTGAGGGTGACGAGATACATGCCTGGTACATGAAGAGAGGTCGACGATGGTGTTGGCAGTCGTGTACATTGGTCTTCGAGAGTCGAAGCGATCCTGTTGCGTGAACCGGCTGTAGGTATGCTAGTCAGGTAGAGTAGGCTGGGTGCCGAGCGCCAGACAGCAGAGAGCGACTTTGGATACTGTGTCGGTGTGGCCTACGGGCTTGGACATTGGCTCATTACTTCATTGTATTGCTCTATATGGATGGTTTTCTCGGTGCATTTGTACTCTCTGCTTGGGACACGACTACTTGTTCAGTTGTGTGATTTCACAACTTGGTTTTATGTATATCGTTCACACTCATATTCCTTGCACAGAGAGAGAGAGAGGGAGTGGTGGGGGGGGAATGGGGTAGGAACGAGGGTTAGGGAGAAGTTAGCAGAGGGGAGCGTGATCTTTCTTTTCGTTTTCTTTCTCATTTTAGACTTTCCTGTCACTCTGTGTGTGTGTGTGTGTGTGTGTTTGTCTGTGTGTGTGTGTGTGTGTGTGTGTGTGTGTGTGTGTGTGTGTGTGTGTGTGAGAGAGAGAGAGAGAGAGAGAGAGAGAGAGAGAGA